TACCCAAAGGGTCCATGTAGGTATGAAGAAGTGCCAAAATGGGGTGCCCAAGTTTTCATAAAGCTAGACGGACCCTGTGGCTACTAGGGAATGAGGAATGCTCTGATCAGCTGCTCGTTTTGAAGGGGAATTACGATAACCCAGACCCCTGATCAATGAACCCCCTCCCCTTAGTAGGAATTGGAATAGGAATCCTGATATTTAGGCCCTTCAAAGGAAGGGGTTTATGAATCATGGGTCTACATTAGGGATACTGAAACGGACCGATTTCTCTAAACTCTGCCAGACTGATACAATAACCTAGGGGTCCAAGTACCCAATAATCATATACTTACCCAAAACCTGTACTATAATTACTATTACCCTAAACCCAAGTACCTAATTATTGGGTACTTGGACCCTCTGGGATACGTCTCAGTCAAGCGCATGGTACCCGGAGCCCCCTACCTCCATCGACCCATCTTAGGGTTCAGGGCTTAGGGTTTAGGGTTTAGGGTTACCCTGATTTTTCATGCCTCTCAAGCCAACCTGGATCCTCCGATGTAGTTCCTTTTTGGGTTTGGTATGGGTTTGTGGTTAGGACTCTTATCTGGACTACCAAAAAGGTACTACATTGGAGGGTCTAGGTAAATCCTAAACCCGAAACTGTGTGAATACGAAGTACGACTTAAGTGAGCGACGGCAGGCAGGGTCCAGGCCTTCAGGCGATAGGTCAACTAATCACCTCCCCTGAACCATATGGTCCCCCTTAAGTAGATATATGGCGATCTTGTTATAATATACTCAAAGCCATATTCTATCTGCTTAAGGGAGACTATAATATCATGGGTTCAGGGTTTGGGGCTCAGAGTCTGGGTTTCTTCACATAGGGGTTACCGTCATAAGAGATGTTCCCAAGTAGTACCCCGTATAGCGGGCAGATATTTCTTAGTAGGGTGCAAAGGGGGGTGTGTGATGGGAGGTGATTAGGTCTCGTCCGGGCCCCAGACAGGGTTAGAGCAAGCCTGCAGACATGCTGCGAGCGAAGGCGCAAATGGAGCACGTGATGCGAGTGTGCAAGTAGCGATGAATCTCGATACATCGTTGAGATGCCCTTCCACGGCTTCCATGGAAGATCATGAGAGCCCTACCCGCAAACTTTGCTGATGCAGGTGCAGATCCTCGTGGTAACGTGCTTCGCAGAACTCTGAAGTTTTTGTTGAAGACACAATGCGAGATCTTGACAGCGCACAGTCTTCTGCTACTGAAGGAGCATTTCAGAGTTGTCCTGTCCGACATAAGTTGTAGGGCCTGTAGGCTAAGGGAGAAACTAATCTGAAATTTTGGAATCTTCTTATGACAGTAGCGGGGCTGTGCGGTCACAGCAGTCCCTCAATTCTTCGTATGCTTCAGACCTGTGTGCGTGATGTCTAGTTGCTGCCTGTGTCATGCAAGTGAGGTTGCTTGTTGCTTGAAGCTTCGAGATGGACACAGATGGGATGCTGAGAAGAGTTCCCTACTTTGGCAAAACCCGCCCGATGAGCTCACGAACTGGCATTGACGCTTGCCCTTTGCCCCTGATTGAGGTCACAGTCGTCACGTGCTTAGACAGGACCCGGCGACAGTGTTGTGCATCGTGATGTAAGCCTGGTTGCAAGGCATTGTGGGATGTGAGGATGTCAGCCATCGGAAGTATGGAGATGTCTTTATGCAACCGGAACGAGCACTTGTGACTATTTCGCGCTCTCCTCATGTGGACGCAGGTGATCGGCTCCTGACCGCATCTCCTGAGAAGACGCTGCATGTGTTTTCTGCACACTAGCCTTACCTACTCGGGGGTTGATTTGAACATATTTCTCAAGTCTTCTTATTCTTTATTATGAGGCCATGGACAGTCAATTTCTATAGGGCCCCGCAAATCAACCCTACGGCGGATACGAACTAACAATCCTGTATGACTTTAAGTACCCTATACCTTGGTAAGTATGGCATTATAGTCTACATTAAGGTCATGCAGAATTTTTAGTATCAACAGTAGTACTGTTACCCAGATCCACAAAAGCACCCAGCAGATGAAGCAACTCGGGATTCTGTTTTGGTGATTAGGCACGAGAAAGATGATTTAGGGTTAGGGTTTAGGGTTTAGAGTCTACCAAGACGTTCCTGGTACCCTGTATTGGAGATATATGGCCGTTAGTTCTAGGTAGGCAAGGCCCTGTTTTACGCTACTCGGAGGGTGCAGGTATTCCTGACCCTGTTGACGGTCTAGGTTCTCTTGGGCAACTTGCTAGACGCAGGCTGATCAAGCTCCTAAAGGGCATGCAATTATGAGGAGCTATCATGACATGAGGCAGTTTCCATAAATTGGGGGAACCCAGTATAGACCCTCCGGTCTGCCTATGGCCTTCGTGCTATGAGCCGTCACTTGGAGGTGCAGAATAATAATGCTTAAGTATGACAGTACTCATGAGACTGGGATCTGGGGAATCTAGCTGATCACTACGATTACCCAAGGATCCAAGTGCCCTAGCATATGATTTTGGCCTGGGTAGCTTTCTATAGGTAGTTTGCCTCCATATCATACATTATCCTGATTGCTGCTGAATCTCTAGCGCTTCCTACCCTAGACCCAAAACCCTAAACCCTTGATCCTTGCTATCCTCCAGCAAGTAGAGCTGCAGAGAGACACTGACATCTTCAAGCCGCCTGCGCCTGTCAATAGGTCACCGATACAAGGGTTTAGGGTTTAGGGTTTAACCCTCAGCCATTCTGAAAGAGACGCCCCTAGTCTGGGCTGCTGTTAAGGAGCTGAAACTATGTTACCACTACACGGACAGTCTAGTACTTACTATATACCCAGATAATGGCAACTTAGCTCAAGTTCCTTAGCAGCAGCCCAGTACTTTCTGAACCCTCATCAGATGCCTTCTCACGGAGCTCTCAACCCCACACCTGGAACCCCCACTCTGAAGCCGCATCAGATGCATTCTCATGGAGCTCTCAACCCCAAACCGGGAACCCCCACTCTGAAGCCTCATCAGATGCATTCTCATGGAGCTCTATACTGGTGAGCTGCTCTTTGGCACGCACGACAACCTCGAACACATGGCACTGATGGTCGGCTCCTGAGATTTACAGGGGAGCTCTTCGTAGGCATTCGTAGGCTTTAGGGTTGAAAGTATAGGGCCTAAGATTTACCTAGAGTAACCTCTGTACCTGGAAAAGGGCGTTTTGTATCTAATTGTTTGGTATCTTGACTTGTTCGTAAGGGTTTAGTTAGGTTGGGTTGGGTTTAGGGGTAGCTGCGAAGGTTCATTCTACCATTCTTGGGTGCCTATACACCTATTAAAGGGCAACAGTCTAGACTTTTTCTGGCGCAGGCAACTCAGCAACTGGCTGCATACCAGGTAGCGTTTTTTTGTTGTGCGTTGCAGGCGAGAGCATTTTGCTTCAGAGTGTGTTGTAGGTTTGGGGTCTCTCATCCTAGACCCCTAAACCCTTAACCCTAAAACCCAAACCCTAAAACCCTAAACCCTAAAACCCTAAAACCCCAAACCCTAAACCATTAACCCTAAATAAACCCTAAAACCCTAAACCCCTAAAACCCCTAACACCCCTAAAGCCCCAAACCTTGAACAGTGAACCCCGGGTTGATACCTTTCACTTGAAGAAAAGGCATAAGAATAATTGCTTTAGGGATTCTAGGTCAGTGGGATGATAAAGGGTTTCGGGTTTAGGGTGTAGCGTTTAGGGTTCAGTGCTTGTTATATCCTATACATTATGATGTGGGGGGGCTTTTTGACCGTACTCAGAACTGCCCATATCCACGAACCCACGAACCTCCGGGTATGCCAGGAACATTCTTGGCATTTGCCCGCCTCCAAGCTGGATAAGTGGAGTTAGATCCGACAGAGAAAGGATTTATAGGAGCATGCCTCGCTTGAGGAGAGTAAAATTCTATCCGCCAATTGGGGGATAGTTTTTCGTGAGAAGAATGTAGTCTTGCTTGGTTGGCCTACCACAAGAAGACTACTTGCTCCTAATTATCAACTCGCCTTACGAGATTCGGATGATGAGGACATCTTACGCTCTCACGCCCTAACCCTAAACCCCTAACGCCCCAAACCCTACTTTTTGGGTCTGGGCAAAGGGCAGGCGCCTAGGACAATGCTGGCTGCGCCTCAAGTTCTGGGCTCAAGGAAACCCTTGCCTGCGCCTTGGACTTTACATGCTGTTGACTTGTTCCGCACCGTAAACCCTAAACCCCAAACCCTAAACCCTAAACCATAGCTTGCCATGGGCTGTCGACTTTTTTGCCTCACTCTCTGGGCTGCGGCCCTGCGGTCTTCTGGTCTTCCGGAACCGCTGCATCCGGTGGACACTGCGGCACCTGCGGTGTCCATGTTTCAGGTCCGGGCAAAGGGTTAGGGTGAGGGGTTTAGGGGTTTAGGGTTTTTTTCTGCTTAGGACTCTTGTTACCCTGTTCAGGTCCGGGCAAACGCGGTAGAAGCGAAAACAAGGCGGGCTCCCAAAACAGAAGGGCAGAGACCATGGGAACTGTACAGGTATTTCACCTGCGGCCATCATAAGGCGGGGGTAGACCTCGCGAGGTCGCTCATGATCCAGGTTTTCAAAGCGCTCGACCTCAACATGACAAAAGACTTTGGCACTTGGAACTTTCTATGTGATGGTAGTTCCGAGGATTTGTTTTGTTACAACAGAGACGCACCAGTGCGATTCGAATCGGACACCTGCTCCCTTGAAAGTGTGCAGAAAGAACACGCAGCGTATCCCGAGCAGCTCATGCGAGTTGCGAACAGCGTGCGTGACCCCTTGGACATGGTAGCATCGGCTTACTGCTATCATCACAGAGGCATGGAGTGGATCTATCCCGAATGGGGGGGGTTGGAGGTCATGAAAATGGGTCTGCATGAAGGCGTGCCCTTCATGGCGCAGAAAATGTTGGATGTCGTTGCCAACATGACTAGCTTCCATGAAAATCCCCAGGTAAAAGTGCATGCCTTGCCATTCGAGATCATCAGCGCCACGTCTGCAGGGTTCGATGCAGAGGTTGAGAAGCTCATCGACTTCTGGTTCCACGGGCTCATCACGGAGGTGGAGCGCAAGAAGGCCATCGAACTGGCCAGGATGTTTCTGGGTTGCTGTTAAGGAACTTAAATTAAATTACCATAATGGGTATATATATGGTAATTAAGTTCCTTAACAGCAACCCAGGTCTGACTTGCATCGCTACCCCAAGCAGGATTCTGGCCACACCAATGACGCCGAGTGCATGATGGCTGCAAGGGCGGCAACACAGTTTATCGAGCCGCAGTTGCTCGGGCAATATCAAGCCTTCCAGCGCAAGTTGGGCTACAAAGTCAGTTAGGCTGCCGAGTTCCAAAGTTTTGGCTCCCACAACATTCTCCTCTTAGACCCTCCTTCTAGTCTACCCTCTATATACCCTGAATGCCCACTATTGGGGACCATATACCTAAACTCTAAACCCGTAAACCCCTAAACCATATACCCCCATATTTGAGGGAGGGTTGCGGAAGATGGCTGCAGATAGAAATGCTGCTGGTGGTGGGCGGGCACTTCCCCAAGCTTGAGGGGGTCTAAGGGTTTAGGGTTTTGGGTAGGACTACGGGAGAGTAAGCAAACTATGTTTGTAAGGGGTTTAGGGTTTAGGGTTCAGGGAATAGAAAAGAAATTGGAAACAAACATAATTAGAATGGAAAATCAACTGGAAAAGCAAATGGACCGTTACATGAGCTACTGGCAGAAATTGCCTTTATCAGGGACCCTTGACAGTGGCCATAGGGGTTCTAGAAGCTTAGACTACAGCTCATAATATGGAGCTAGAGTTAGAGAAACAAATCTCCAAGAAAGTGAGCTGCATACCGCGCAGGCTACGCCGAAGAGTTGATGCGACGCGATTCAGGATTTAGGGTCTTGGCGCTAGCAGAATCAAGCTGTTCACCTTTTTAGGGTTTGGGGTTTGGGGTTTAGGGTTAAGGAGTTAGAGTAGTATGCAATGTACAGGATGGTGGCTCAAGAGCGTCAGGGCTTCCCTGTACCAGCATGCCTGGCTGTACAGCCGTACGGCGCGAATTTTATGATTTGCCGCGGTACCTTAAGAATTGCAAGGTGCTGAAAAGAAGCGATGCCAGGAGAACATGAGCAAACATGTAAACGGTGCAGGCATCAATCTCGCAAGACATGCAATAGCAAAGCTCAGAAGGTAGGTCTATCCCCCAACAGCTTACTCCCTTATGGGTCCAAGTACCAGGCCATGTATTGGGGGTATTTAGTTACCCCTAAACCCTAAATCCTCAAACCCTAAACCCTAAAACCCTAAACCTAAAGCCTAGGATCCTGTAACCTGACAGGAATAGGTTCGATCATCTCGTCGCCGTTGGATGCGGAAAAGGGCTTTAAGATGTTGCTCTGGGGGTTATATAGGGTGTTTAGGGTTCAGGGTTTAGGATTTTACTTGTTATCACCCTTAATCCCTCAGCCCTAAACCTTAAGCCCCTCTTCAATCCCTAAACCCTAAACCCTAAACCCAAAAATGATTTAAATGTGGCACCCCCAAACCCACCAGAGCTCAGCCAAAAAGCCCCTACCCACCTCCTCCTAAGATTAACCCCACCCACCTCCCCTAATAATAAATGCTACCATTATGGTATGTTATATCATAATATACTGAGAATAATTGACATCCGGGGGTGGCGGGGGGAGGGGGGGTTTAATATTAGAAGATAAGATCCCTAAACCCCAAACCCGAAACCCCAAACTCTAAACCCTAAACCCTATAAACCCTGAACCCCAAACCCTAAACCCTGAACCCTGAACCATAAGCCCCAAACCCTAAACCCTTGGGCTTCTGAGGAGAGGAGCCTCGGAAGAATACCCCCGAAAATGCTCGCGGCCTCACCGACGGCGGCGAGAGAGAAGTGCGCCAGCCAATTCTTGAGGTCCAGGATTCAGGGTTTAGGGCTTAGGGTGTAGGGCTTTTAGGATGTAGGTTTAGGGATCAGGATCAGAATTTAGGGCTTCGGGATGTAGTATGTTCAGGGCTCAGAGGACGATGGTTTGAAATCTTGCACCACCGTGCAGAGACCCAAAGTAGAACCCCCTTAAGCGATTCTAGAAATTTCCCAATAGTAGTACAGGGTACCATATGGGGGGTTCTAATTTTTTAGATCCTCCCAGGGGACTGGGATGGTAACTCAAAATTTGAGATTTTAATGGTGCAATATTTTCTCCGTTCACTGTAGGTTGGGCCCGGCGTAGGGGGCTTTCGCCTCGATACTTCATCCAGTCCTGCCCTAGACACCCACTCTCAAGCCTAAACTCCTAAACCATGAACCCTAAACAGGGTTACCTGGCACATATGCCACCAAATCCCTTCGTATTCCATATGTCCATAGAAAGTCAAGTCTTATTATAGGGTTCCCAAATCAACCCAAGTAAACCTCAAGTCCGTGACCCTCAACCCTGACTAGTTTCCTTCCCGGGCAGCCAAGCAGCCGGGAGCAGAAGCTATTGGCCGCAACTGCTCTGACGCGTTAAAGACTTGTCAGGTTTAGGGTTTGAGGGTTAACCGGCGTAACACAGGGTCGTTGGGGTACCGCTTTTCGAAATTATGGGGTTAAGGGCTTAAAGCTTACTATTGCTAGTACGCTTACCGTTGCCAGTATTATTACTGTGACAATACTGGTTCTCTTACTATAAGGATCAACTTCGATGGCTATTATTATTATTATTTTCCAAGCCACTGCTACGCTACTACTTTTACTGGCACTGCTGCTTTTTTTTCCGCATTATCTTTGTAACTTTTAAGACAACTGCGCTTTACCGGTATATGTCCTCTTACTAGTAACGACTGCCAGAGTATGACTACAAGTACCAGGCCTGCTCCTATTGGGTTTAGGGTTTAGGGTATAACTCCAGACCCAAGAGCTGAACCATAAACCTTCCAGGCCCACGGGGCTAGTTAGGGGCAAGGCTTCTCATAATTCTAACCTTAAGGCCTAGGGCTTAGGAATGTCTAACCCTAAGGCCTTAACCCTAAACTTTCTTCCAAAGGTCTAGGCTTCAGGAGCTAATTAGTGGCCAGGCTTCAGGTTCAAGCTCTGTGCGATTGAGGCTTCGGTATTTGGGACCTAGGCTCAGGTTCAAGGATTTGAAGAGGGTTTAGGGTTTAGGGTTTAGGGTCAGTTTCCGTTAATTCAAGTGGTTAAGAGATGTTATGGGATATGAGCTGTAGTCTAAGCTCTTAGTATCCCCCTTTGTAAGGCCTATAGTAATCCCCTATATAACTTAATCATCCCCTACATAACCCTCTTTAAGGAGTTTAGATTATAGCTCACATAAGGTTTTGGGATAAAGGTTTCAGCAGGGGGGGGTCTGAGGGGTCCCAGGAACCCTAGTAGATGAAAGGATTATCGGGCTCCGCCTCAAGGATTGTCTAGGTACCATTTTGAAAAGCTTGTATATTTGACATTGCCCATGCGCATTCTATCTAACCATAAACCTTAAACCCTAGACCCCGTAGGATTAGGATCCTACATGTAGGAAGCCCCAACTGGTGCCCCATAATTCAGCTCTGGTGTTCCGGAGTACAGGTCTTGTTGTACACACCCCCAAAAACAGCATGGAAGCCCAAAGGGCCCTGCAAAGACTACGGTCCTTTCGAAAGGACTTATCAGCCTCCGCATTTGTGTGGGGGAGGGGCAATGATGAGCCTTTCTGGGTGTCCTCTAAAATGTGGTAGTTTCCCAAATAGGGGGGCCCCACTACAGACCCCAAAATACTATAGTCCTTATTATAGGGACCCCCAAAATGGTACCCCTAATTTTGGGAAACTCCCACGTGGAACAGACGCCGACTGGGACCTCAAAGAGTTGGAACAGCTCTCAGTCCTAAACCCTGGCCTAAACCCTAACTGGGTTGCTGTTAAGGAACTTAAATTAAGTTACTATATTGGGGAAACCCTATTATTTACTATATATATATACATATATATCCACTATGGTAACTTAATTTAAGTTCCTTAACAGCAACCCAGCTAAACTGAGCAACTCATTGCGGATTCAGGTACCTGATGAGGGATCGATACGGCGAATTGCGCTTGAACTGGCTCGGGCTCCCATCCAGGATTTAGGTTTAGGGTTTTTGGGGGGAGGCGCTGCAGAAGAAATCCAGCATTGGCGTACTTGCAGGCTTTGACCAAGATCCACACACAAAGCTTCATAAAGCCCTACGGTGTATGGAGAACGTCTCGCACCACTTAGTATCCCTAAGGGTTCACGTACCCAATAATTGGGTACTTGGGACTTTGGTCATAAGAACTGCTGTGCGCATTTTGGAGAAGTACATGGATATTTGGTAGTTGTTCAAAATGAGTGTCCCCGAAATGGCCATAGCCCTAAACCCCAAACACAAAATGGCCATGATGTAGTTTCCCTGCTTGGTAGGGATCCCCCTTTTCAGGAAGTGTATTCCTCACGGTCCCTTCTTTACAAGGACCTTCAGAACAACCCCAATTTGCCGCTTCGACCCTCAGCACGAAATGGGCGCTTTGTGGGAAGGTAGATGCAACTGTACTTCAACGGGTTTGACTTTCAGGTTCCTGTGTTTGAGACACATCGTAGGGTTGGCTTTCCTATCCGTTAAACCCTAAGCCTAAACCCTAAACAAAAAGCCCTAATCCCTAAACCACTCCCCGAAGATCATCTTTTCAAGACCCCGTTACCTCATGGAAATGTTGAAGAGGCCACAAAGACGCACGTCAGAGCTACGCTGTGATAGGTGGTCCAAAGCTGCAAGTAGAATTCGGCCTACCATGGTCATACCCTAAACCCCAAACCCTAAACCTTAAACCTTATGTTATGCAATTCCCTGCTTTCCCTGTAGTTAGTTCAAGTCTTCAGGTCTGCAAGATTTCTTTCATCCACTGCATTCCTATTATCTGAGGTTGAGAACATGGGCCCCTTAACTGCGGGATCCTCATATGCCTACTATACATTCTATATGTACTCTTAAGGGTCCCTAAAATCCCCAAGCGGGCTAAGGGTCTATACTTAATACCTTACATAATACCGCTGCTGCTATTAAAGAAGCTGTTGATGAACTCTGGCATGCCCAGTTAGGGGCCCCGGTTCAGGGCTTGCTGGAGGTTCTAGGGTCTTCAGAAGGGTTTAGTTTGGGGTTTAGGGTTACAGTACCTACAGAATGCATGGCTGATCCTCAGTCTTCCCCCGGTAATCCTTGCTAATTTTTTGCACCAAGATTCTCCTAGCATGCTCGGTTGGGGTTGTAAGCCCAAATCCCGAAACACCCCAAGCCCTACACCCCAAACCGTACGAGACCCTATGCCCT